TCTTTAAGAATCAGATTATTTTATCACCAATCACCTAAATAATGGTGCATACTCAGCTGAGAGGAGCTGTAAACACTATTTTACTCTAATTATTTGAATCCATAGATTTTTTTTCAATTTTTTTTTTTTTGAAAGACAATATAAAAGTGAAAACACAACTCCTAAAAGAAGCAGCAGAAAAGTCTTATTGAGTGATCATATAATCATAGAATACCGAGTTGGAAGGAGACCTCAGAACAGTTTTGCAGTGGCACTCCCAAGGCGATGCTCACCTCGCCTCTGCCATTCTTCCAGCATGAAATCACTCTGGAAGATTGTAATCCAGCCCGGGGACTCCAAAGAAAAATGTAGTTGTTACCTGTAGTTCATCTAAATAATAGTCCCCAGCATTAAGAAATTGACACAGCACAGCTATTTATTACACCAGCACTCTGTGATCCACTTCACCCACAACTTCTCTCATTCCTTGGTAACTCTGGAAAAGAGCTTACCCTTTCCTTGGACTCCCTTTGATAGCAAGAGACATCCATTTAGCTCTTCCCAGTGGAAGGAAATTCTCATAGATCTAAGGTACCTGTGACAGCCAAGGCTTACCTGTTCCTTGTGGTTGTCTGAGCACATTAATCAGCCCAGACGAAGATTATAATGGATGCAAGGACTCCCTGATGACTTTTCCCTCACAGCCAAATCTCTCCTTTGCCACTTTATGAAAGTTGAAATATTTATGTGGGGATTTACCAATATCAAAATTCCATATAAGATTTTTTAACTCTAGGATGAAACCTGAAGGGAAACTAAAGAAATACACTTGATCTGCTCTTTGAGTACCAGCACTTCTGTAAAACAAACACGGCAGAGATGAAGGATCTTGCAGGACCCAAAATCTTTGAAACTCAGTCTCATATAGCATAAATACAGTCCCCTGATTAATCCATCCTCTTTTCTACCTCCTCTAACTGACTACATTTGAATCATGCATATGAGAAAAAACATCAGGACAGTACTGTTAGCTGAAGATCCAAGTCACAGAAACACAAATGGCATGGAACATCTAAGCCTTTTAATAATGATGCTGCTATCCATTGCAGATCACCTGGCATGCACAGTTCAGCTCTCTGAAAATAATGCACACTCCCTGGTTAAATTATGCCTAGAGTTGAAAAGACGTTGAGCAGCCTGCTTGTTTCAATTGGCTGTGCAGTGACTGAGCTCCATGAATATGGAAATAATTGGAAATCCTAGACCAATATAGAGGAGGATGAGGAATATGTGACCCACATAAAGGGCATGCTGGAGTTGCATGAAAGTGAAATCATAGTGTAATATTAAACAAGTGAAAAATCCTTGATATCAGTGATAGAGGTTAGAAAACAAATGAAGATTATTTCAGTAAAATGCCAGAGGGTTCCAACAGAGATTCAAAGCCTTTTCAAATGCATTTTACAGGCTCCTTTCTCCTAGGAAAGAGGTAAAACTGAGATTTTATTTTAAATCCCAATTCATAACTCTAATCTACACCTTTGTGTCTCTTTTGCTCTTGATGTTTAATAGGTTTACAAGATTACTAAGTAGCTGCCAGACAAGTTTTTTTAACTTGGGCTCTGAAGATTTGACCTTAGTTGTAGTTAATAGCACAGAAGATTCTAATCAGAGTATGAGAAATGGAGAAGTACCCTAGGAAAACCAAAAAGCTCTACCACCAGACAAGCCCAACTCAACTTTCACCAACTCAAGCAGACAAACTGCAAAGAAAGTAAAAAAATTACGGCCCTGAATTTACTGGAAAAATTTTGTCACGTATGTCTGTAAAACCTCTAAAAAACCCCTACATTTTCCTTGGATGTGGCTCATTTGCCCACTTGTGCTAACCAGGAAGAACTAGCACTCCACTATAAGAGGTGCTTTGGTGAAATTGAAGTGCTCTGCTTCCTACATACTCTTGTATTTGGAGTACTCAATGCATCCAGGTGCCCCATATAGCTCTATCTCTCCTGCCACTCCCTGGAATTGCTGGCAAAGTATGTTACAGCAACCTTCTTCAGCTTCTTCTACCTGGCTGTCATAGCAAAAGGCAGATCCAATAGCAAGGAAGAAAAATGAAGTCTAAGACTCTGGACAAATGCAAACATCCATGCACATAGAATTCTAAACTTTTTTGTCCCAATCTGAAAACTAGGGCTACCAATTCATGACAATACTTTTAAGAGGTTCTGAGACGTGCTCTTGAAACAGTTTTGCATGCACCTTACATTTGCAAAGATCTGGTTTCTTAGTGTAGTTAGGTCCTAAGGATTTCAGAGTGAAGCTTTATTTTCCTTTCTCTAATGCTAAGAAATTTTCCTTTCATTCCTTTAACATTACATAAGTACTTTTGATTTCCTGAACAATTTTCAGAGAAAGCCACTATATTTTTGGAATATCTTATTAATTCATAAATTTATATACATGGTTCAATTAAGTGTCAAAAAACTTCACCACTGATTTTTATCTCAAAAAATCACCTTACATTATCCTGTAAACTGAAAGGTCAGTGGCATGTTTTCTATCCCTGTTCCTCAAACAAATCTCTGTATCAGTTTCTAAGCTAGCAACCACTACTTTCACAGAAGTTCGTTAATCTAAAATATTTTTATTTAAATTTGCTAGGATTAGAGGAAACATTATGATGTGTTGCATATTCCCTTCAGATAGTTTTTTTACTTAATAGAAGTATGATGAGGAAAAAAACAGTGCAGGTAACATGATTCATGATATACACCACTGTATATAGCTTTTTATAAGTTTTCCGAAAGTTTATTTAAAATCTCTTCCCTGAAACCAGGAAGCTACACCTTCTCACAAATAAAATAATATTAAGTTTTCTGCACAAAGAGTGTTTCAAAACTGTTACCTCTATTTTCAGACTATTCAAACTGAAGAGGAACTTTTCTAAAATACTGGCTCCACATTAAAAGCACACATGGGAAATACTATTTGATGTAAAGCTCCTTCTTTCGAAATCAATACAACTCAAAGTTCCTCCTCTGTGAAGGAAGTCGGTACGTACATGGGCATTCTAAATGTTAATGAAAATATCAGTTGTAGGATAGATGAATACAAAGAACCCAAATATAGACATACACTGGTCTGGGTAACTTGAAAGCTAACTGTCCTATCAGGGGTTGGGTCACTGGCTACAAAAGCTAAAAAATAAAAATGAACCCAATACACCCTTCAAAACTGAAAGCCACTTGGTTCACGGAGTGATTATCATTGATCCCTGGCACATGTAGCTTTGTCTAACTCCATTATGATCATGTCCAGCACTTTTATAACTACCTTCTATGAAATCAATTCATAGGGAGAAAAAGCTGAAAAAAATCTTAAAATTATACAAGTTCTAAAATCCCACTTTAAAGACTGAAATATTCTGCCCTCCCAGATGTAGTTGGAGTACAACCTTGGTAGCAGAAATGGCAGCACAGGTGACATAACATCTCCTTACCTTTCACCATTCACATCCCAGGAAAAGATGTGAGTGCAAAACAAACCAGTGACCGTCAGTACTGGTATGGGTAACATGAAACTTTATGAAGCTCTCTGCCTTGGTGCATGTGCCTGGGAGGCCTTTGGGTATTCAATCACTCCTGTGGTTTGAACATTTTAGCCTGTAGTTCTTTATTAAGTCAACTTTCAAAAGAAATTATCTCTTAGCAAACCTGGTGGAGTTACAGATCGCTCAACTGGTTATTATTAAGTTATTCCAATTTCTAAATATGGCTATACAATGAAAGATAATCTAGTAGGCAAAACTCTGACCTTAAATGCAGGACATTTAAGTCCAGCTTTGGTTCCACCACTGGCAAGATTCTATGTGTCTTTTCACTATATGGAAAACAGGAACAATAAGAGAATTGCCTCAAAATCTGAGCAACATTATAATCAGATGATTAATAGATATATTGGGCTGCAGAGTTTTGGCTTTGAAAATCTTGAATCAGTTTCTTATCCTGGAAAGGAAGCTGGGATTATTCAATTCAAGAACTGTCAACTATTTATAACATCAGCTATAAAAAAAAAATTTAAAAAATAGCAAGCCAGAAACCTCTTGCTGCCTCAACCATCTCCAGTAGAAACAATCCCCAGGGGTGCCTGCACACTGTTCCAAGGTTGCTGGAGTTCCTATGTTCCATGTCTTCTTGACAGTAAATTGCCAAGCCACTGTCAGACACACAATAGAGAGGAAAAAGGAAAAAAAGTTCTGAAGATTTAACTTCAATAGAGTTTATATCACTATTACTTTAGGAGGATGATACCCATGTCCAAGTCACTGAGGAACGTTTCTGTTATCAAGGCAATGCAACCCAATCTAGTGGAAGTTGTCCCTGCCTATGGCAGGAAAGTTGGAACTAGATGATCCTTAAACAATGTTCAATGCTAATGGACTCTTAAGAACATTCCCATTGGTATCAAACATAGTACAGTTTAGCCTAAAGCACATAAACTCTTGATGATGAACCTGTTAACGGAATCCAGAACTGTAGCTACTCTAAAACTGAGGTACCTTAAAAAAAACAAAAAAAGCACACAGCTCTCTGCTGTCTTCTGATAATCAGCTTTCTGTCTCTGTGTCAGAAGAAAGACAGAGCTCTGCACAACATTGAATATGTTAATTTACTCACTGGTAGAGAATACAGCTCACCATTAGGACATTTTTTCTGAAAACTAAGTCCCAGAGGGAGGTGGAGACATTTACTCCTGTTTTGACTAACCAGTCAAGCATAAGAGTGTAACACATACACTAATAAAGATATCTATGAGTCTCTAACAAGGAAATCACTAAGAACAATGATGACATCTTATACGGATAGACATAAATTAAACGGTTTGGGGATGAAAGACTAACACTGCACTGTCTGAAAACTTTTGTAGTGCAACTGAATAAAAAATGAGAACTTCTTCAAGAATCAGAAAATTACCTGAGGTATGCTGGTGTGGCCAAAGACGCAGTGTGACAGAGCTTTCTCTCACCAGAGGGCAACTAGCTAATGGAGGCTTGTGAGCAGGCTTTCTCCAGTAGATGTGACCTGAAAGGTAAGCTACATGTAAACAAGAAAATTTTGTAAGAAGAGGATCAAGTCAGTAGGACAGGGTGAAAGAAAACAGAAGCTAGGTATAAATAGATTCAGCGTTTTTGCCTTATGTTTTTTGCCTATATCTTTTGTGTTTCTAAGTATATTGCTGATTTTAACTGTTACAAACAAAAATTTATAGTGCATTTCCTCTTAAACTGTCTTAACTTGTGCATGGTTTAGACTAACTAGTCTTTCCTTACTAAGGCTATGACAAGACACAGACCAGGTCACCAGGGTAAGAAAAAAAGCACCTAGTTAACCAGGTAACAGGAACCCAGTTAGGAGCATGCAAGGAAGAATATAGCAAGCCATGAGCTCTGCTACATTGATTATGTAGAAAGCTGATACCACAAACATCAGGAAAAACAAACACCTTCCAGTAATTGTTGGGAAGCAAGAAGGATGGAATCCAGTAAGATATTGCATCAATTCCAAAGATACCAAAGAACACACCAAGCCACCCACATCACTTATCCTCTTTTCCCATTCATGTTTTCTGGCAAATTAATGTCGATAGAAATGTCAACACATCATCGTGGGATTCTAATAAGATTATCTTTGAAAAGCAGGACTGGCTACCTCACAATTTAGAGAACAGAAGGGAAGGGGGGCAGCCCAATACACCCTCTGTTAGTCATGGTGGATCAGAGATCCTATCCAATTTTTTCAGAAAAAGGTTCAGAAAACATATTATATAAAGATTTCATTCGTTTATTATACCACTTAATATTTTTAAGGAATATTCAACTTGAGATAACTTTAACAATAGGGAATAAGGGAGAATTTTTTTGACAGTAGAAAACAGGTTGCAGACATAAAGTGTGTATTTGCACTGTGACACAATATGCATTCATAACTCCAAAAAATACGATGACAGAAAATAATAAGATTTGGTGTAATGTTGATTAAAGAAAGTTAGGCCTCAATGGGTTTTAAAACACCTTAGAAATAATTTATTCATTAGAGTATTGTAAATGCTTATAGTAGTAAATATTTTTGTTCCATAAAATTAAAAATAGTTTACTGTAACTTTGTAACTCTACCCTCTATCATTCCTTACCCCATCCCAAATAAAAAACCTCTCGACAAACTGTTAAAAGACAATTCTGAATGGAGCTAACACTAAGTGGAATTTGAACAGCAAACAGCTTCAGAGATGTGAGGGGCCAAACAAGATAGATTTAAAACATTTTGTTAAATCAAAAGTGTTTCTGGATATGCAGTGCAGCATGTCTGCCTTAAAAGATGCAGACTCCCCTTGTAAGAGATGCCCCAAATATTCAGATGGATTGATTTAAATAATCAGAAAACTATAGAAAGCATGTGCAAAAATTTTGAATTATAAAAACTGTAACCTTGATACAGAAAAGAAAAATTAACATCCCTTGAATGGCAAGCTCTTAAATTGCTTGAAAAGAAATATGAAGAAGAAGCAGTATTTTCTAATTCCCCATGCACTAATCATAACTCACCAACAGTGGTTTCCCACACAAAGCAATTTTCAATGCAGTTGCATTGGATAATGTTGCAGTGACACCTTTCAGCTATTCTGATGCTCACAAATAATATTTCAACCTTTTAAAGCTATATACTTCCTGTAAGAAGCAACATTAAGTAGACAAGGAAGTAAACAGCTTAATATGAAAAACTATTTTATTGGGACTGGTCTTTAAAAAGAATACACAAAAATTACATTGTATATGTTTGAAATTTATTCTATTCAAATTAAACATTACCATAAAAGTCATCCTCTTGCAAAGAAAGTGATTCACCGTGGAAACAATTTGAAACTCATTTTACAAAGTTTGCATAAGAATTACCACCCAGGGCAAGAAATCCACTCGTTCCCACACAATGTGATAAACATAGAGGACAAAATCAAAGCAATTACAAAAAATGGTCTTTCTTTGATCCAGAGAACACAAGCTGATAGGAATATGCAGATATGTAGTAGATATTGTTGAAATAAAAATACAGGATTTAAAGTGTCACATAGACAATGGACAGTTTTGTGACAAGTATAAACACATTTTATCAATAAGAAAAAGAAATTGCAACAGGATAATCTTAGTAACTATGAAGAAAATAAATACTGCATCTATTTCATACTCTAATTTCAGAGATGAGGAAAAAAAATTTCCTTACCTCAAACACAGCTTGAAGAGAGACATTAACAATATGCCGACATCCTTTCTTAGTCCCTTGATAGCAATCTAAGAAGAAATACAAAATAGCAAATAACTATCTTCCCTGCAGAAAGCATGTGCCCAGGAAATATACGTTTCCCAGTAAAATGTGCAGAAAATAAGTAAAAAAGAAGTAAAAGTAAAGTAATAAGTAAAAAGTAAAAAAGAAATAAAAAACTTAAAACTCAAAAAGACAATCCTTGCAAAATAAAAAGACAATAACTTTATATTTTAAATTCACGGTATGATTTACTGCATTTTAAGGGAGTAGAGATATTCAGGAATTAGATAATATAGGTTTAACTGTTATCTTACCTCAATTCTCACTAAAATATTAATTTAGTATATTTGTCTACAAAAGGAAGATTGTAAATTTATCCACACAGAACTCGGACACTGCAGATGTAAAAAGATTCCTATTCCAGTAGTAGGCACACATGGGCTCACACGATATAACCTTATTAACTTGGTTTTTCCTCCCGAACTACAGTGCTTACTAAAGCAACACTCAAATGTTAAATGCTTTGGTCAAGAGTTCAGTCACTGACTTGCAATGAAAGCCCTATGTTTAGCTCCAATATTTTCTAACAGCAAACAAGGAAAAAAAACGGTTTCACGGAATGAACTGTTAAAAAAGAAAATCCTCACATAAGCTTTCCCCGAGGGGGAAGAAATATCCACAAGGTTTAAATTGGCCAGGCGGATTTAAGAGGAAGCAAAAAAAAAAAAAAAAAAAAAAAAAAAACAAACCAAAAACCAAAAAAGGCAGCTCTTTCTGTTGCGTCAAAGAACCCACTGTGCAATAGGAACAGTGAACAGAGTTCTTAAACTGGCAAGCTTTTGCTGAAGGCAGCTTTTCAATATGCTTTCAGCATCGTCTCCCAGGGCTGGCTGGAGACAGTCCCACTCCTCTTATGTGGCTCTGCTCCTTCAAGGGGCAATCGCTCTTAAGGACAGTTTCTATAAATATACTGCTCTCCTGGCTTGACTGCACATGATGAGGGCAATTGCACACATATACTACCTGCATTCAGGGAGCAGACCTGCACACGTGGGGAAAATGCAGGCACATTCAAACTAGCCATCATTACCTTGGCTTAAGAGCAGGATGCTATTGATGACTGACTGCTTGCTGAAACTTCCTTCCCCACTTAGACCATTCAGTGTGCAGTTGGAAAGCAATCCTGAAAGGCACAGTACTTAAAGAGGAAGCCTCTCATGTAATTCCATTGGGACGTTGTAGCCCCAGCAGTGCTCTCTGATTAAAGGAAATCATGCTGCTGCCTAGCTTTGTGTGTATTGCAGAGAGCTCAGCTAGCCACCAGAGACTGCAGCTACGTGGGACGAGTGAACCATCCCTCCTGGGAATGATGGCTTCCTCACTGAGGACATCTTTAGAGGCTGAACCTATGTATATATGGTGAAAAGAGTAAGGACACCAAGCAACCTGGTTAAACATTAGCAATATCATATTCATGACCACATACAGGAGACTGTCACACAGATCTCTGCAGGTGAGGACACCCCTGCATCCTTTTTATAAGCCATGGAGACCTAAGCAAAGGGTTTCAAAGCACAGTTCAGCCTACCTCAACCTGCATCTGGTCCACTGAACTGCCTTCTGGGCTTCACTGCCTACAAAGGGAACCCACGATGGCTTTCCCAAAAAGAGGTTGTAGACAGCAATTTTAGAGATAAGTGTCATTCCAAACGACAAGTTGATGAAGGCCTGCAACATGTGTGCAGAAAGAACTGCAAGGAAGAATGGCATTGGTAAGGGACAGGAATAGAAAAGGGAAAATACAAACTGTGAAATGCACTTTTCAACATTACTGTAGAATTAAAAGTGGGGACAAACATATGCAGCTAGTTAATTTAGAATTTCTCTTCTATTTATATGTCTTTCAGAGTTGCCACAGGGACATAATGAGCCGGAATATGTGGGAAGGCAGCAGAAGGAAACGGAATATATGCAGTAGTTAAATTGTCTCTATTTGTGTTCTCTCTTTACTTAGTGAACTTCTATATGGAAAAATTACAGGTTTAATAGCTTCTCTTGAAATCCTTCCAGGTGAAAATGAATTTCTCTCCTAAAACATGTTTTCATAAATGACAGACTAAGTTTCTGCAAAAAATACCTTCAACTTAGAAGTGAAATACAGCATTTGCTAAGCTTTTAGCCCTGTAAATTTAATGCAAGGTCCTATTTGTGTACCAAGCAGTGTGTTTCTTTACTGTGTTCTCACACCAGACAACTCACTGTGTCCAAAGCACCCACTTTAGTGTCACTGGAGTCACATGGGTGTAGATTTGGCCATACGAGAGTAGAGTGATTAATAATTCTGTCTGTGCTGTGTGGAAGATAATTACAATCTGGTTCAGTTTCCCAGATCTAAAAGCTAGGCAGGTATTTTAACACATTCATAATAATAATACCTGCTCATAAGATTGCCTAAATGTTTCCCCCCTATAAATCCAGACTCTTTTTCCCCCTATAAATCCAGACTCTCCACCAATCATCACTGTCAAGCTGCAGGCTGAAGAAAACTGGTAATATTTGCTCTTTTCTTGAAATAGAGTTTTTTTTTTAATCTTAGTATAAGAAAAGTAGATTGATTTGCCAGGTGGCTGGACCGCCACCATGATGTCCTGGTGTCCCTTTCAACCTCAACTATTTTGATTCTGTGAATATGAAGTCAATTTTAAAAGCTGCCTTAGGCTATTACAGAAATTAAGTAGACTGAGGCCAACTTCAGCGTTTTGAAGCCATAATTTAGATTCAACTGTCAACTGCAGTTTCAGAGTCAAAGATCTCCATTCTGTCATTTTGGGAGAAGCTACCAGATCTGCTGAAACATGAAATATAAGCATTTATAATGATATTGACATCTGTGAGATCATTAATGGAAATCACTTTATGGAGACAGTTGTATTGGTTCCCACACATCCCTTGCTGTTCCACTCTTGGATTTCCAATCTCCTTTTATTTTTTCCTTCTTATCTATCGCTCAGCCATCTGTGGAGACCAAATGGCCTAGTCCAGCCAGTGAGCCAGCCTTAGCCAAGGTCCCCTCTAGACCGTGGAGATCCTCACCCTAAGTTCAAGAGACATTGTTTCAAGTTATGGAAAGTTACAGTTACAGTTCATTTGCAAAGTATCATGGGGGTTATTATGTTAATATGGGGTACATGTATGTCTGTTGTTGGTTAGAATGTTTCTAGAATGTTTTTTAGTAGTCTATATAAGTTGTAGTCCTCCATTGTTCAGGGTCTTCCTGTGCCTACATTCGGGAGCGTGTTGTTTCCATCACGTGTAATAAAGGATCCTCAGATTCCACCGAAGACCTGTTGCCTGTTCTTAATTTCCACAGCTAACCAGCTGCATTACCGTCTGCAGTGGGCAGGGCAGCACGACAGTCAGCCAATCTCAATTTAGTGTCTTCCAGCTGCAAGGGACAAAGAAGGCACTGAGAATTCTCAGGGACTGAAAGCCCAGAAAACTCACGTTAGCTGCAGAAATTCCTCTGCAAAAAGCAAAGGACACAGAATTGATAAAATATCTACAAAATAACAAAACCTTTTGCATGATCCCTAGATTTTCTGTGTAGACTTCACCACACTGCTAGCCCAACACAGACTGTCTCCTCCAAGGCCTCACTCAGAAGATGTTAAAATGTTCCCTTTCAAATCTTTTCAGTATTATGCAAAGCTCTAGCTTCATTTTTACCCATGCCAGACATCAACTCCTGCTCCCCAGGCCTAAGGAGTGGCTATCAGTTCAAGCCCACACCATTTAGCACAGCAGTTATCCCAACTTTTGCACTGCCACATTGTAGACTGCTTTATCCCATACCTGAAACCCAACCTACGTGTCCTTAGGGCTTGTTAATACACCAATCCTGTGTAAGTAACAGCAGCCTATGGCACCAAGCCAGGAAATCCAACATAGAATGGATGCTATCTGCTGGAATTATACTGATCCAGAAATGTAGAAGGTGGAGAATGACCTTCAAAGCCCTTTGCCACTGCCAAGTGCCAGCCTAAAACTTTCCACTCTCCTGGCTCGTGAAGACTTGCTTTTGTGGCGCAGAAGGAATTCTAAGCACTACCATCAAAGCGTACAATATGGCCTTTGCACAGATCATGTGTCTGTCCCTGTGCTGCATCAGCTAAACTGCCTGAATCCATGGCAAGCATTATCTCTGTTACTCACAGGCCTTCCTGAAGAAATGGAATGATCTTCCCAGGGAAAAATCATCCTTCACCACTGGTGAAGTGCTGCCTCTTTCCTGCTATAGAAGGTCATGAAGCCTCTTCCTGAAAAACAAGGCTCATGTAGGCATTTCAGCTGAGTCCTGTATTCCTGCAGGAAGGAGGCTGTGTGCACTTCCACTTATCTGGATAAAATGCTGAGATTCAGCTTGTCTTGCACTGTGGAAATCAAAACAGCACAATGTGGGCAAGAACTCAGGAATGCTACTTTAATTGGACAGGAAGCTTCAGACCCTGACAAGCATGGCGCAACCCCAACACCACCTACACACTTGGCTCCTGGAATGGGACATGAGCACGCAGTGCCATTGGCACATCGGTAGTTCAAGTTTAGTACAGCAGTGGCTCTAAACTGTCAGCCTGGCTAAAAACTGTAGTTTACATTCCAAGTACCTTCAAATAATAGTACTATGTCACCTGTTGCAGACACAGTGCACATATTCTGAAGAACCACACTGCTCCTCTTCCTCTCATCCACAAATGAAACATCAGTGGTATTTCCTGCTTGCTCAGTGGAATCACTTGCCCCAATCCCCTGCAAGTCTGATCCTGCTGCCTGTCTTGTATCTATGTGAGGATCACAGAGAAAACAAGTCCTCTTAAGTCCAGGGGTTGAGCAGTCTTAATGTAAGTATTTTCTTAGGTTTAAACTCTTCCAAGCCTCAACCACTTTTGTTTATGTCCCCTTGAGATTTCTTCTCTTCTGTCAAGTTATGCTGTTTGTATCATACAGAAGTGGACTCTCAACTTTGCCTCGCCTGGAAGGGTTGAGTGGACTGGCAAACACAATGGAGCATTATGAATGCGGAGGCAAGGATTCAACAAATCTCCGCAGAGGCAGCAGTACTTCATTTGAAGAAAAAAAACCACCCGGATTATTTACAGCTTTTTAAAAATAAATAAATAAATAAAAATCCAGTGTCCAGAGGACACACAAGGAAATGCACAAGGATGTGCAAACATCCTGAGGAAACACACAGAGGATGCACAAGGAAAAAAAAAAAAGATAAAAGGGTGTTTATAATTTATTGGAAGTATTCCTCCTTGCCTAGTGGATTAAATACAGCAACATCTTGCTTTCAGGATACCTTGTGAAACTGGTTCAAAAACTGCCGTCTCCCTGCCTAGCTAATGTCTTAGGGGTGATTCTGCACTGGCAATTTTTCAGGGCACTCATCACACGTCCATTAATTTTCAGAAGTAACTTTTGGTAATCCCCTGCCATCCATTTCACTCCTGCAGTATCTTGATTCTGTCATATGGGGAACCCCAACCAGCCCATCAGCTGTTGCTGGGCAGTTTCTGAAGAGATGGAATACATAATTTTATTACCATACTCAGTCCCATAATGCAAAACTATAAATTATTATTATTCTTC